TTTTTTTAGATGTTTGGGTGCATGGAAAATTTGGTGGGTAAATCATTTTTTTTAGCAGTTTTTTATGTTAATTAAAAAAGAACCCTTTTCTAACATTTTTCTCTTTTACTTTTTAAAGAAACAATTAAAGTTTCTTTTTTTTCTTTTTGTAGACGAAATACAGTATCTAGACGCATGAAAAATTTGGTGGGTGAAGTTTTTTTTTTATTATTTATTATTTCTTTTGACAAAACATTCACTGACGTTTCATTTATTTATTATTCATTTTTGTAGTCTTCGAATATTGGACGCATGGGAATTTGGTAGGAAAAGTGATTTTTAAATCATTTTTTAATGAAATAGTTATTGACATTCCACAAAACTTCCTATTGTTTTGTTATTTCTTCTATTTTATATATTTTATAGGCGACCAGTACTAGGATGCGTAGAATCATGTAATTTAGGTGGGCATTTCAGTAATCTTTTTTGAATTTTTTATTTTAACAAAACTTATGTTTATTTTTATTATTTTTTTAGACAGCCAATTTTCTGGACGCGTGGATTTTAGTAGGGAGAGCACGATTAAAACTTCATATTGCCGATATATTGTAGATTTACATGAAGAATCTGAAGGTGTCGCATATGCTAAAATTGAATTCATTATTCAACATAAAGCAAATAATGGTCAATATTACACTTTTTTCTTATTTAATTAGTTTCAGGTGACGAACTATATTGATTCTATATCAAGATGCCCAATTTATAATATTCAGGAACTGGAAGAATCACATTGGTTTCAAATCTTTCCAATCAATTTTATTGATCACGTGCCTTGAGTTCATTTTATTCACGATTGTAAAAGTACATGTAACACCAAACATGATGAGGCTAATCAAGGTTATATTTTAAATAGTTTTTATGACACTGCAGTTTAGTCAATTTAGACAACTATATCGCTAACATTATATTATTATATTACATTAGAGAAAAAATTCTTTCAAAAAATCAAGTCGTACATGAATTTATTGGAGGTTTAAATCGAAATTTTTATCATACAATCATTATATTATTTTATTATTTTTGACACATGACTATTATATTATTTTGTTATTATTACTCTGTCATTGATATATTTTCAATATATAATTGCTATATAGAATTAAATTTCTATTATATTATTAATACGTATTTACCATATGATGGCCATATAAAGTTAATATTTTGAATAATATTTTTATCATATCTCTGATACATATTTGGCATATAATAGTCATATAATTTTAATGTTCAAAATAATATTTTTACCATGTCTCTAACATATAGGGATTGGAACCGTCAAAAAAAAGCTTAACCGGTTAATAACCGGTTAATTAGAGCGTCTAACCGGTTAATAGTCGGTTAATTAATCGGTTAATTAACCGGTTAATTTGTAATGAGGCTAACCGGTTAATAACCGGTTAATANCACAAAACGTCCAAAAAAGGAAATTTGGTAATACAAACTTCCTTATTTGGACATTTGTGTAACGTTACATTGCCATAAAAGGAGATTTTAAAATTCAAAAATTCGAAAAATCAATTTTTCGAAATTTTGGCACTTTTCGTTCAAACGGTACACCGTAATTTACTATATTAGCTTAGAATTAAAATATATTCCATTAGTTGGTTTAATAAAAAATCAGAAAGTTAAATATGGTGCAAATGAATTAGAAATTTAGATAAAATCCTTGAAAAGGAAAATGAAGAAGATTTACTAAAAAGACCATATACATATTGGTCTAAAGAATATAAAAGAACAAACCAGACAACTATAGGTGAAGTATTGAACAGTGGTATAAGTCAACTGGAATCATATATGAATACAATTTCAAAGGGAAGAGTTGTTGATTATTCTAGTTCAGGAATATTTGATGAACGTGTCAAAATAGTAAAATCAAATCCTAATAAATTAAAAGGATTTGTCATTTTAGTAATTGGTTTTCGTCGTATTTTATGGAAACCTGTTGATGATGTAATATCTAATTATACATATAATATAATTTAAGTATTATTTTAGTTTAGCAATTTAATTAGTAAATTTAAAGTAATCCAAATAATAAATTTATGTAAAATTAAATCGTATTTCAATTAAATTTTAAAAAATATGGTTATTTCATTATTCTTCTTAAATTGGATGAGTTTACTATTAGTATATTGTTTGTATTTATATAAAAAATTGCAAGGTTTAATACTTTCAGAATAAAGATATAGTAGATAATAAGTATCTGGTATTATACAATAATAATTATATTTTAGTTGTATTATAATTAGATTAGTGTATAAAATATTTTTTTTTTGAAATATTTTTAAAAATATACTACTTTATTTTCAATCCAATTATTTACTTAGTTGTTAATATTAGTCACATTAGAAATTTCAAACCAATTTTTAGTAGGCTAAATTAAAGATTTTGAACTTTTAAATCTATAATTACTTTTTGTTATTAAAGTTGATCAATAAATTTATATTCATTTGGAAATAATATTTATAATATATATTTGGAATTATTTACCTATATATATTGTATACCATTTGTTATTTGTTATGACTACTATATAAAGTAAAATTTAGATAATAATAAATTATTACAAGTACACTAAGGATCAATTATAAGGAAATTTATAAATATCAAACTTTTATATTTAATTAGCTATCAGACTATCAATCTAAGCAATCTTCAGTTAAAATCCTTTAATTACTTCTACTTCTACTATATTTAATTGCTAATCCATTATCAGTAGGATGTTACCAGAAGGTATTTCTTTTAGTGTATTATATACTAACTTCAAATAATATACAATAAGGTTAAAATTTCAGTTAATATACCAATTTTCTTAATTAAAAATTGTATCTTAAAATTTATTTCCTTTTGCTCCTTTTTAGTATTGAGAAGACTTATAATAAATTGCACTTTTATTCCTTGAAGAATAACATTTCTGAAAGTAAATAAAATCATTAAATAAATAATTTGATTTATTTAAATTTGCAAGTATAACTAATATAATAAAGATTTAAAGATAAAATGGCAACTGACTGCTATTATTAATAAGAAATTTCAACAATAATAATAAAAGCAGAATAGGATAGTTTACTTCTTCCATTTTACCTCAATTAAGTTTTAAAATTATTTCCATAATCACTTATAAGGACGCTTGCCAAAACTATTTTTTCAAAATTTTAGTTTAGTCAAAATTCAATCTGAACTAATTTTTATAATAAAACTTAATTGCCTAAACTGTTTTTATGCTTTTCTGAAACTAATTATAATTTAGGAAAGTTTCAGATTTACCAATTTTTTCATTAAAAATAAAGTTTTTGAGTTTCAGATTTTTGAATTTTATCATTAAATGAGTTTTGGGCAGCAACATTAATCACTTATGATCTTACAAATGCATTCAGCTTTTGCAAAAGTTTTAATACTATTATCTAGATCCTTATTGGTATATTGGTAATATTATAAGTGATTTACTTTTGATTATTTTAGAAAGTTTAACTAGCTTTTGAAATAGATGTAGTAGTAGTAATTTTCTGACTTTTTTCATATTCTTTAATAACTTCTTGCCAAAATATTTGCAAATCTTTTTTATGCTGTAAATGCTCTATATTTACCTATGAAGTGAAATGGATGAGGATCTCAAATAAAAATATCCATATAATTCACAAAATATTACTAATGAATTTCTAAATGAGGTATGAAATTTCTCTATGGATTTTAATTTAACTCGTTTTTTTTCTAGTATAAAATACAATAATTTTTTTTTCATATGTTTTATAGGTTAAGACGTATAATTGCAAGAATAATCTTAATTTATATGGAATAACTAATTTTCAAAAATGGACATTGTGAAAATGTGGCGAGCAACATATAAATCAATCTGATACAAGCTAGTGTAAAAATTGATAATTTAATTCAAGCAAGATATGCAATTAACAATTAATCCTTACTATGATATATCATTTGAATGGGTCCATACGATCAATTTGAGGATATTGTATAAATAGGCAAGGGTGAATTTGCGATGAATTTTTAAATGGGATATGAAATTTCTCCGAAAATTAAATTTGTTTAAATACTGTACTTCGTTTTAGACAATTTTGGTTTAGGTGAGTTGAGTTAAATAAATTGGTAATAATGTAAAAACATGCATATTTGAGTAAAAAATTGTAACATGTTACATGTGTCAGTATCAGTTTTACTTGCAAAATTGACTTTATGATAAAACCAGTAATTTTATTTGACAGTAATTAAAAAGATTTTTTTAACTATAAGTAAGTATAAATGATATAATGGTATAGGTTATTTATTTCAGAATGGCAGATCAATGGGTCAGTGGCTGGGTTCAGTAAAAATTAGCAGATTGGTATATTTGCAGATTACCACAGTTAGTTAGCTAATTTTAACGAATGTTTTGTTTAATAATTTTTTTATTGCTTTTTTTTACTAATGATCATTAAATAATAACCTTTTATAATTATATTTAATAAATTATTATCATCATGGTTTATTAATAGTTATTAATAAATAATTTTATTGATTTTATTCTGTGGCCTTTTTTTGGCAGATAAATGGATCAGCTGCTACAGTAAATTTATTATTTAATGTTAATTATTATTTTTTAAATACTATAATTTAATGATAAATAGTTTTGCTTATATGATAATTCTAAACATATTTGGCATACTACTAGACAAATATTTTTTCATTTCTTTTGCAGTTTTGCTTCAGAATTTTAAGAATTTCAGATTTGTGTATAAGCATTTTTCTAAATTACTGTAAATTCACAGTTAGTTGAGTACCCTACAGTAAAAACGTTGGCAGTGAAAAGTTATGTAAGAAACTATATTATCAGTTATATACATGTAAATATTAAATATGCATGAGTTCTTTTCATAAAACATAATTAATGAGAAGTAATATATTTATTGATATTTAATTATTATCATATACAGGAAAAAATAAAAAATACAATCTTCTGTTGATGATTAAAAATTTAAACCACAGCGAGTGTCAATATCAAGATTAATTTCTTCAGTGATATAATCTATGTAATAAACAAAATTAATTAATTCGTAAATTTATAATTTAATTAAAACATAACGATGAGTAATATATAATTTATACTAACCATTATTGCTAGATTGTATATTATTATCAATATCTAATTCAAGTTCTGTTGTCAAATAATCTAAAAGTTAATAGTAATTAATTTACATATATATAAAATATTAAAAAAATCATTTTACCATTATTTTCATTTTCAAATAATTTGACCTTTTTGTTGATTTTTTCTAAAAAATTTTTAAATTCAAAATAAATTAATAGTTGAAAAAATCAAACAACTCGATCAGTTGTATAAAATGTTTATAGTACCTTCAAGCAGGCTATCATTAAATTTTCTTTTGTCTTTAGGTCGTAAATTTTTTGAATAGTATACAAAAGTTTAATAATCGTACAGAAACAATCAAATGATTTAAAAGTCGAATTACTTACCAAATTTTAAACTAATACTTTGACTTCTTAAACTTCTTGTAGATTCTGCAGAGCTGATCATTGCACTTAAAGGTCTGCTTTTATATACAGCACCTGGATTATTTGTTATTGGCCCGATATCTGGTGAATTAATGATTTTAGTTGGATTATTTTTTTCATGTTCATAACTCAATTTATCATATCTAATAATCGTTCAAGTTCATGAGCTGTTGGTCTTTTATTTGGATCATAATGCCAACATTTTTGCATTAATTCAACATAACCTTCAGGTGCATTTGTAACAATTGGAGGACGAAGACCAACACATATTTTAATAATAAGTTCTGCATCATGATTTTGGCCCCAAAAAGGCTTTCTGCCTGTCATTAATTCCCACATAATCATACCAAAGCCATATATGTCTGAAGCTTTAGTATATTTTTGTCCTTGAAAAATCTCAGGGGAAATATATGGAATAATTCCATATATTTCATTATCTTCATTATCATTTAATGGTTTACTTATTCCTAAATCACCCGTTATTACTTCTAAAATAGAAGAAATAAAAATATTTCCGCTATGATAATCTTTATGAATAACATTTGCAGCATGTATATTTTTAATCCCAGTTGCAATATCTCGTAACATCTTTAACTTATCTTCCCAACTAATATTAAAAAAACGTTTAGCTATATAATGTGTAAGATCTCCTAACTCATAATATTCTGTAATTATCATAAAATTTTGTTGTGTGATCCCTTGATGTATATTGACATAATTGCCACCTTTTAAACTAATATCATAAAATATTTTGAGCTGTAAATAAAAAAATTATAAAATATTATTTTCATATATTAATAATCGGAAATCAAATAGGACATTATACCTCATGTAAGTCTTTAGAACTGATGTTTTTGGAATTGTTGAGCTCCTTGAGAGCGAATATCTCCGTACCTTCATAGCGACTAAACCTGTGTTTATTCGGATTCCAATTAGTTGTTAGGCCATCAACACAAGTGGCTTTATATATTTTACTGAATCCCCCTTCAGCAATAAATTCTACATCTTTGAATTTATTATAAGGAACAAATATCATTTTACCACGTGGTATAGAGCTATTTGTAATTGTATACCTTATAAAATCATCAATAACTTTATTTCCACTTGGTATAATAATTTTATTTGCTTCATAACATAAACAACAAATTTGATGAGTTTCACTAAAATATCTTTTATTTCGATTGCATTCACTACATTTTTTATATTTGGATTTTGATTTAAATGTATTTTGTGCTATATTAACTGAAGACGTGTTATCCAAGTCAATTTTTAGTTTATAATTAATTTGTTGATCCATGATAAATTACTAAATTTCAAAATATGATCTCTTTGTATTTATATACTTATTTCTCTATTATTAACAGTAAAAATAACATAGTAAGGTTATTGAAGAATTCTTTATTTGAATTCTGGAAATTTTGCTAGAAATTTCCATTAATTAAACGCTTTTCTCCTTTAATAAGTGATCAGCTTGATGATTAAAATAAATTAACCTTTTATGGATTTTATGGATCACAGAATTTGGTGAAAACATTCTTAAGAATAATTTCACAAATAGAACGTTCGGTAGTATAAATTTGTAACATGGATTGTATCATCATCTGTACGACGTTTAATAAAAATAGAAATTTGACAAAAAATGTAAGGCAATTTAAAATATTTCTCAATTTAATTTCTTGTGAAACAGTTAAAATTTTTTTTATAAATGATCGTATTTTTATAATATGACAAATTTTAATACATTAATTGTTAATAATTTGGTTTTTATTTATTTATTTATTTATTTATTCATTTAAGGAATTAGTATTTAATCTATTCATTCCATTTTTCTTTGTCAAAATAAAATAAAATCAGAGATATATACAGTACGAAATATATCTACGGTCGGGCCAAAATTATTATATGTAATGTTCTAAATTCTTTGGGCATTATATTTACTGTAAGTTGCACCATTAATACAAACTATACTATTTCCAAGTTAAACAAGATTTTAAGAATAAAAAATTAGTATCATTTATTATCAAAATAAATTCCGTTTCAAAATTATGAAAATAGTTATATTGATTTTAAAATATTAACAAAATAATATCATATAATATATGACTAAATCTATAAATTCGTTATACGTTTAACAAATGATTGTAAATCCTTATAATACCTAAAGTATATGAAAATTCTTTATATATGACATGTTGCGACGTATGTATCGGTATTTATAAGTAAATATAATATGGTATGTTCAAAAAATCATTTTTTCTTATGCACGATCTTTGTAAATACATAGGAATAAATAGTAATGGATGACATTAATAAATAAATTAATCTCTATGTTTCACAATGATTTGATACTGATTTGATAATATTATATTCTACTAATGATATGATATCTGTTAATTTATTTACTGATATTCAGATATTCAAAATTTAATGATTTTTAATATTATATCCTATAATAAAAATTACTTTCTGTTAATCATCATTATTATAAAACAAATCATAATTTTATCCTTTACACGGCTTAAACTGAAAATTTAAAGTTATGGTCTCTTTTAAAAGAAAATATTTAAATTATCTCATGTTTAACAATTCTATGATATTGAATAATAATAATAGAATAGAATAGCCTCTTGGTAAAATTCTCGATCTGCTGAAAAAGAATTATTGTGTTTACAGTAGGAACAAATTAAATAAGCTTAATAAATAGTTACGTTGATCTTCATGTCATTCAACCTAATTAATCACGTGGTGAAAATTTATTTTAAAATGAAGAAAAACAGGAAAAGATATGTGGTTACTTAAAAAAAAGAGAATTAACGGTAGCGATCAGCGAAATAAATTAATTTTAGATAATGATGTTGTGCCCCAAATCTCAATATGCCCCAAATTGGCGATAATCATCGATGATTACTATATGTGAAAAGTAATGCTTTGAAAATTCTTAAGGCATTATAAAGATGGGCCGATAATTTAGGCCGATCGTTAATTTTGGGGCAATCGTCAACTTGGGGCACAACAATGACTTTAGAAAATCAATGCTACTGTTAAGCCAGTTCTTGTATGCTTAAAAATAAGCGTATGGGTATATGGTAAGCAGAAGGATAATTGAATAAAATAAATGTTAAATAATATTAATGAACGCAAAGTGAAAATAACTATATGTAAATATTAGTAAATGTATCACTGTCGATCAATTTACGAAGGTTACACAATAAAATAAAATGAAATTTCAGTCAAATGCGAATACGGTATTGCACACACAGGCATATACACTCAGACGCAATATTTGACTCACAAATATAACAAACTATAAAAATAAAAATGAGATAATTTATTTAATAAATACTTTTATTAAAATATAACAGAATTATCTATTATTACATTGATTTAGAACGCATGTATTTATAACAATAAATTCTATGCTAATCATGTTAAGAATATTAAATAAATGCTATATATTTAACAAATGTAATATGTTAAATATGTGTTATATATTTAATATGTTGCATATGTTTAACATGTTAAACATATTAAACATTCGTAACATTTGCAACATTCGTAACATTCGTAACATTCGTAACATGATCGCCGGTCATGTGATTATTCGATTAACA